ATGTGTCCCTCCTGTTTCCAGGTAGTGTTTCCATCGACAGGTTTAAAACAACCAAAAAGCCCTACTGAGAACCCTGCGGCTGAAACAATTCTAATCATTGAAACCTGATACTTTAAAATGTATTCAGCAAGCTCCTGAATGAGAAGGCCCAAAGCAGAGCTCTGAGATACACAGAGCAACAGCTGCCTTCTGAAAACCTGGAGGTAGCTGAATTTGAAAGGTTGCACTGACAGCAAGTCAGCCTCTAGAGCAAACCTTGGCTGAACAACAAATGCTGATTCGTATTTATTTCTTTTTGCTCTGTCTCTCTCAGCCTGGCTTAGCAGAGAAAATCAGTAACTACGTTAGCTCGTGGCGCAGTCCCTCTCCTTTACCTCTCAGGAATGGCTTTTTGAAATACTGCAGTTCAATTATGTTTGCTTACACAGAAACTGTCACATTTTTCTCCTTTCTGCAAAAGCAGAGAGTGAGTTTGTGCCTGTTGAGCAGGGTTGGCAGTGGTTGTGACGTGCCTGCTCTGTTTGAGGTTGCAGCAATTGAAAGCAGGAGGACCAATTCTCTTGAAATGCACCTTCAGAATGTCTGTGCCATAGACAAGCCCTTGCACTCAGTTTGCATTTGTTTTGAGCTGGTCACAGGCTAACTTGTCCTTAAATCTGTTCCTAATTAACAGATGTTTCACACAGAAGACTATGAGCTTCTCGTACTCCAGCATAACTGTTGTCCGTTCTGTCGGCGGAGAATAGATGAGTCAAACCAATGAAGAAAAATAATCTCACACTTCAACTGACAGACTTCCCTGTTGGCTTGGCAAAACACTTCTTAGATCCACAGAGTTTTCCAAACGACTTAGTTAAGTCATCTTGTTCCAGTTTGCACACAGGAGTGGAACTGAGTTGCAGGAATGTAACATTTTTTTAATGACAATGTCTGTTGTTTGTGAACATCCTCTGCATTTCCCAGGCAAGCAGCTGAGCTGCCACAGCTTCCTACTGGAACGGTTCTATGGTCAAGTTCAGCCTTGAAGTAATAGTTATTACTGCAACTTGTGTTATGACTTAATTTCCTCCTTAATATGTAGCTATTATTCACAGATCTTCAAATAAATGGGACTGGTTTTTTCTACTTTTTGTCTTGGGAGTTTGCAATAATCCTGCTTCCTCTGAGCTTGTATTTTTCCTTTCTATTCCATGTAGGCAAGAACAGCACTAGAGTTTCGAGCTCTTAAAGTATGATCTGAAGAGTTACACTGAGCTTGACATCAGGGAGCATCTCTCACAGCCACACATGGTGGAAGGGGATGAATGTCTTCATCTGTGTAGAATTCACCCTTGTTAAAATCCAGATGCCAGGTTGTGCACAGGACGACACATTCCGTGTTATCCAGGGTGCACAGACAGAAGGACCTTCACTGCCTGCTGCCACCTAGGTGACCTGGTAACCTTAGCCTGTTTACCACTCCTGAAAGGAACAGCAGTGACCTGACCTGGGGGCTAAACTGAGCACAGTTACACGCTTTTAAAGGTGTCAGGGTGTGAGGCAGGAACACCAGAGCAGCTGCAGGCTTGTAGTCAGGCAGTGGTTTCCCACATCACCTGAAGCTGTTGTGATCCAGTCATACCTGTGCAGCGTGGGCTGCAGGCCTGTATGAGCTCAGGGAGTGTTACTGAGCAGTATTTCCCCACCATCATTTCAGTCCAGAGCCATGGGCAAACAATGTGTAGAGGTGAGAGGAGATGGAGCCACTGATTTCTACTTCAGCCTCTCCCTGAGGCTGAGGGGATGTTAGTGATGCAGCTGCTCAGCCAGACATGGTGGGTCAGTCCCAGGCAGCAGCTGGACCTCCTGCAGTAGTTTGCTCATTCCCCACTTTCCTGCAGGACTGGGGAGTCCCTGCAGAAGAGCAGAAGCAAAGCAGCTCATAGGTTGAGGTAAAAACAGTGCACTAGATGAAGCAAAGCTGTGAGAGAAAGCAAAGCAATGAGGAATTCACTCACTGCTTCCCTGGGCAGGCAGATGTCCAGCCTGCTTCCTGCAGAGCAGGGCCTCAGCCTGAGGAATGGAGACTCTGAAAAGCAAAGACCACAAACACAGCATCCTCCCTCCTTCCTCCATTCCCTGAGCTTTTATTGCTGAGCTCATCTGGTGTGGCTTTGGCCAGCTCTCCTGCCTCTGTCCACCCGCACTTCTTGCCTGCCTCTGGCCTATTGCTGCTGGAGACAGAGCAGGCAAAAGAGAACCTGGGTGCTGTGGAAGCACTGCTGAGCTGTGCTAGTGACACTGGTTTGGACACGGATCCAAAGCAGCACCACATGGCTGCTGTGAGGGAAGTTAACTCCATCCCAGCCAGACCCAGCCCCACCACTGTACTCAGGGTAGTTGAGTCTCTTGAGGATGGTCCTCGAGGAGTTCTGCCACAGCAGGGGAGTTTGTGTGTGTAACCAGCTGGGCTGGGTTTGAGCTGGGAAGTGATAGGGTCTCTTGACTTCAATCCAGTATAAATTGTGCCCATGTTACCATGAGCTCTATTGTTGTTATGACATCCTGTCTGTCACAGCCTCCCTTTGTTGTGAGTGGGAAGTTATGTTCAGCTTTCCTGTCTGCAGCTCCTGGCTAAGGTGGTTGGGTGCTTGTAAAGCAGCTACCATGTAAACAGCACTTTGCACGTGGCACTTGTGATGTCCTGTCCCCTTGAGGTCCTCCTGAGTGACCCTCTGCAATGGCACTGCAGGCTTTCCAAGTCCCTTAGTGGTTCCTCACAAAGTTTGGTTAATTCACCATTTGAACAACATTCTGTTCTAATTACTGCTTGTCTGCTTTTTGACTCATCTGTCACTGTTTGCAATGAAGACGTAGTGACTGACACGGATAAACAATGCTGGTTGGGATGGGAGCCAGGATGGAATTCGGCTCGTTCTCCCAGAACTGAGCTGGCTCTGCAGAGCTAGTGGGAAAGAAGAATTATAAAAATAAATACATAGGGTTTGCCATGACAGAAGCAAAATGGATCAAGCAAGGAAGTTTTTTTCTTTTTAGTGAACACAGTCTAGGTTTGAAGTGTTTCGGGCTTTTCTGGGCAGAAACATACTTGACATATCTTGTGCATTGTGAAGATGTTCTAGTTCAGGCTGCCCGTGCCACAGAAAGGTTGGTCACTCCATGGTGAGGAGTCCCTGGACACACAAGAAGTCCCCCCATGGTCCATTTGTCAGAAGCTGCTGTGGGGGGTTCCTCCCTGTCCCTCCCCCTGCCTGCTGGCCTGCCCCGTGACGCATGGGCCTGAGCCCCCGCTGAGCTCAGCACCAGCTTTTTGCATCAGAGCTTAGGGTGGCATATTTGTGTCTTGGAAGATAAAGCTGTAATCCCTCTTGGGTGCAAATATGAAAGCTGCATTTGCAGTGAGTGGCACTGCTCTGGCCTTGGCAACACGTGTGAAAAGTTAATGGAGAGAGACTTAGTATGAGGGGAAGTGTGATAACGTGGTGTTCCCACCCTAACATGAAGGAGGACTGGGGCTGCCCGTGGTGACTGTGGCCTGTCTTTGGGCACGAGGGTCTCCTTTGTCCCTGGTGCCAGCGCTTTGGCTCCTTTAGACCTTCCCCACTTGGACTCGAGGTTTTCCAGCTCGGTCTGTTCTTTAGCAGGACTACAGAGCTTTGGGGTTTTTGCATTTAAAATTTTTGCATGTGCTAAACTAACCCATGGGGAACACTGGTAAAGGCTGGGCCAGGGCTGAAGAGAGTCAATGAGGGCCAAGAGGACATGAACTTCTGCCTGCCTTGTGCCCATGAGCTCCAGCAGCTCTGGCACAGCCTCCTGTACCAGGTGAAGCACCTGGTTCCCCATCCTCTGTTCCTGGCTGCACCTGTTGCTCAGCTCAGCCTCTGGCTCAGCCAGAGCAGGGAGAGGAGGTGCTCAGGTCCCCACCAGCCTCTGTCCCCTGCCGAGGGGCAGAGCAGATGGTCCTGGCCTGGCCTCCATGGTAGAACCAGCTGGTACGTGCCTGCCTGCTGGAGTGAGTGACTGTGCATGAGAAAGGTGATAAACAGTGGGTAGAAAAGATGGGGGAAATAGCTTTTGGGCTTCAAATATTATTTGTGATGGTGTGAACTATAGGGAAACACCTTATCCAGAAGAGAGATCCTTTGCAGTTGGCTTCATTGTGCTCACTCTGGTGTACAGATTTTCCCATTGCCTCTGAAAAATTAAGAAAAGGCAGTGTCCCAGTAGGTTGCTGGGTGGCACAAAGAACATCTCAAGCACAACTGAGTGCATTGAGTGGGAAGGCAGCAACATGGAGGACATGGGAGGCTCCAACAAGGGCTTTCCCTATGGAATTTGATGATTCTGCAAGGTTTTGGGGAGGCCAAAGATGCCTGTCAACCACTGTATGAAGTCGAGTGTTGGCTTCAGCTCAGACCCTGTCTTCAGGGCCTCTGAGCACCAGTGCAGAATGGTACCTGTCCAGAACAGATGGACTAGGTTATTAATTGGGTGTTGCCAATGTAATTGTCATGACCTGAACCAAACCCAAATAGTACATCTGGAAACCTGCCAGCAGGGTCAGGGTTTCACTGGTGTTGAAACCTCCCAAGCCAAATCCAGTAGCAGAAAAAGAGGTGGCATTTCACACAGATGGGCAGCGCACCCCTGAGTGTCCTTGAGGGGGCTGGGGACCTTGGGGAGGCAACAGCAGCATGAGCTGTGATGTCCAGCTCTGTGTCATGGGGTGCCAGGACTACCATGGGTGCAGGGCACCCCTGACCCTTGCTCCCTGAGGAGCAGGGCCATGAGAGTGCAGCTGCCGCCTGGTTTGGGGCCCCTGGTGAGAGGTGTGGTGCAGAGCTCCCTCCTCTTTATCTGACCATGAGCTGTGGTTTCCAACAATGACAGTGAGGGCCAGAAACAGGTGTCACCTTAATACCTTCCCAGGAAAGCCACTTACCCCTGGATGATTATGATTAATAATTCTGTAAGCCTTAATCGCGCTGACTCCAATGCCCAGAGCTTACCCCAAGAGGCACTTTATAAGGGACTCCCTGCAGAGGTGACCGGAGCCACTTCCCTGGGGTGACAGCGAAGGCTGAGAGGTGGCGGGAGCCCCGCTCCAGCAGCCACCCCTGCACTCAAAACAACCACCCCTGAGGAAGAGGCACCTCACGAACCGCAACCATGAACGGCACAGAAGGCCAAGACTTCTACGTACCCATGTCCAACAAGACTGGGGTGGTGAGGAGCCCCTTCGAGTACCCCCAGTACTACCTGGCTGAGCCCTGGAAGTTCTCAGCGCTGGCTGCCTACATGTTCATGCTGATCCTGCTCGGGTTCCCCATCAACTTCCTCACCCTGTACGTCACCGTCCAGCACAAGAAGCTCCGGACACCTCTAAACTACATCCTTCTGAACCTGGCGGTCGCCGACCTCTTCATGGTCCTTGGAGGCTTCACAACCACCATGTACACCTCGATGAATGGGTACTTTGTCTTTGGAGTAACAGGGTGCTACATCGAGGGCTTCTTTGCTACACTGGGTGGTGAGTTTTCCAAACATTCAAAAATCTTCCGCCAGGAATTGCTGCAGGTCTTAGGAGGGGAAGGGAGGATGCCCAGATGATCTTGGAAAACACGGCACCTGGAGGGTCCTTGTCCTGCTGCTGATGTGGGCCGGGGCAGTTGCAGTGTTTCAGGGTGGGAGGTGAATAAACTGAAACTATTTTTTATTTTTTTTACCTTATTTTGGTAGCCACCTGCTCAGTATCCTGAGAACAACAGTGCAGCAATGAAAAGCAACCAGTAGCAGATTTTTCAGTTGTTGGATTTGCACATCTTTTTGGCTTGCTTTCTGACTTGAGAGGTGACAAATTTGTTCCTCCTGTTCTGAGGAGCTGAGTCTGGCTCTGATGTGGTGTGTGGTGGTGCAGGGCAGCAAAGCTGGCTCTCCTCCCCGTGCCAGCCGGGCTTGGACTGAAACAGATGTTAAACAAAAATCTTGTGCCTAGGAACGCCCTTCTCTGCTCAGCACAGCCTTCAGCCACAGGCAACTGTTTCACTGGTTCAGTCCTTGTGGCACAAGTTTCCTGGGAAGCTGTGGGTAGTGAGGGGAAATCCTGGAATGACAGACACTCACTGCATCCCAGAGTGGGACTGTAGGCCTGGAGGTGCAGGTGCTGTCCTGGATGAGTGGTAGGATCCAGCCACAGATCACAGACAACAGCAGCAGGGTGGTTAGTGTGGGTCAGCACAGCGAGGAAGTGTCTTCTCCTGCCTTCCTACTGTGTCTGCACTCGGCCTTGGTTCATTTCTCTATCCAAAACCTGTTGCCAGGAGCCTTCCTCAGGAACAACAGCCTGGGGAGGCCTCGTGCTGGCGTCAGCATGATTTTCTCCTGCTGTTGCTGCAAGTCCCTGTGTCCCTCTCTCTCCCTGGCGCAGGTGAAATTGCTCTCTGGTCGCTGGTTGTCCTGGCTATCGAAAGATACGTGGTGGTCTGCAAGCCCATGAGCAACTTCCGCTTCGGGGAGAACCATGCCATCATGGGGGTGGCCTTCACCTGGGTCATGGCCCTGGCCTGCGCAGGCCCCCCGCTCTTTGGCTGGTCCAGGT